GGCGACCAGACCGCTGCGACCACCGCCTACAGCGGCGCCGGCGCCTGCGCCTGCTCACGGCCCCCGTTCTCCAGGCTCCTTCAGCTCAGCGCCAATCTCCAGCATCGGGCTAGCCACTTGCACCTCCACCAATCGATGGCCAGCCTCCGCCACTCAACGTTCCGACTCACAGCTTTCAGCTTCCGACTTCCATTCCCACCTCGACCGGTCACCCCCCAGCCCCCACCAGTTCGGCGCTCCGATGTCCAGCGGCTCCCAATCCCCAACCGACTCCGACTCCAGCCCCGCCCTTCTGCGGCATCCATATGAACCGGCATTTTGGACGCCGTCTTGGGTTTACCATTTATTATTGGAGTGCGTTCCAAGGCCCGGGGTCCGCTGACATGATTATTAATCAAACGTGGCCGAGAGAAAACAGTTGACCAAGACAAGGGCGCCCATCCCACGGACGTTAGAAATTCGACGAGCGACTCCACCCGCCTGCAGCCCCCTCACCAGCAGCACACTTGCGCGTGCAAGGATGCTCTGGCCCAGTGCTTCTGAGGACCAGGAGTGGCGGACGGTTGCCAGCAGCACGACCATGAGAAGCCTCGATTCCAGCTTTTTATCCGATTCCGCCTCCTGCTCCGACTCCGGCTTCCGCCCTGGCGCCGGCGCAGCGATTATAACCCAACTGGCGGCAGAGACCGACGGTCCGCCGACCGCCACACCACGACCACGGGAAACCCCACTTCCAACGAACAGTACCACTAGAATTTCCATCCCACTCCCGCTACCACTAACGTCGTTTCCTCTCACCTATCCCTGCGACTCTGGCTGGCGCCTTCACCCCGCTCTTCCCACCCTCCAACGATCGCGGCCATGGCAGGCGGAATTCAACGCATGACCCCGCCCAGGCCGTTGAGCTGGGGGGCCCCCTGGCCATGCCGGTGCGCCAGCGCCCGTCACCAGACGCCCAGCGGCCTCCATCTTGGCCGGGGACGGGTACTACTTTAACATGCTCATCTACCCGCCGTCCGACATGTGATGGCTTCCTCTCCGTTTCCTCCCTCCTCTGGCTTTGCTTCTGGGGCGACAGACAGCGGTGCGTGTGTTTTTTTTTTTTTTTTTTTTTTTTTTTTTAATCAGTTACACGTATGCACAGGCACGCCGGGGCATAATCCAACGTCGCTCTGCGCTCTCCCAAGCCATAGCAGTCTACTTGTGGGCTGGTCCCGGTATCTTGCTCCTCTTCTTTCCTCTCTTGGCGGTCTTGCTGTCTCTCTGCCTTCTTGCTGTTTTGGTCTCTTCGTCGTCACACGAAAGGGTGGGCCTGGCCACCACTTTTTTCACTGCTCGGGACAGGAGTCCCGACCACCTCCTCCTAGGTTTGCTTGGTGGAGTCATCGACCATCAGTTGGAAAGCTGGCAGTTCATCATCACGTGCTTCCCTTGGGGGAAAAATGAGTGCATCATATATTGGAAGCCCTCGCACAACAAACACGCGCACTAATAAATGTCTAGAGCAAGTGAATGTGCAAACGCGACCAGGCTGTTTAAACTCCGTGCGAGTTGTGCACATCCCAAAATGCCCTTCTATAGTGCGGAGCGCATGAGACACATCAGTCGCGATTCTGTTGCAGCGCTGATGTGAATCTCAGTCCGTGGCGCGTGCTCTCGCGTTCCCCCCCCCCCGTTTGCAGCGCCTCCTGGCATGCCCCCGTAGAGACCCACTCACGCACATACACGCACACGCACGCACGCATATGTACATGCGCACACACATCACACATGCACACAACCACGCATATTTTCACACGCATACACAACAACGCACACGCACATCACATCTGGATATATCCTTAGGCGCACACAAGAACACACGACGAACACATACGCATACACGCCGACATACACGCACACGCACACACATACACATACACAACCGCACAACCACACAGAAATACACACATACACAGGAACGCATGAACACACGTCAACATTGAAATCGCATTCGATCCAGATCGCCAAGGGGGACCGGAGAGTGAGAGGGGGAGGGCGACAACCAATTGTTTCACGCGCTTTTGCACGCGAGGCAAGCGGTGGTCTGCGAACTTCCTCGTAGTTTGCTCGAGTGCGCCCTGGCCAGATGCATTATGACACTCAGGAGTGGTGCTCTCGCCCAAGACGTCCTGGCAACTCGTCAAAGTGGTTGTCAGCCCATATACGACGAGAACGGCTCCTGTTCGACACTTTCAGTTTACCCAGAGATGCGCTGGAGCCCCCCTGACAATTCAGGAACGGCGGGTCTCTCCCCATACACCCTCGCAATTTATTCAAGTTGGTGAGATGCCCGTAGGATCGGGCTGCTTGGTGCGCACATGGAGTGCAATGTTGAATGCACTGCGGGAGCTGATATGAGAAAGAGTATCGCATAAAGTCACATCGGTTTGTTAGACCACACATTCGCAAGATTGTCGTCGCGCTTGTCGTCGTTGCCGTCGTCGTCGCCAGCGACCTCGTTTGTCTTCGTCGCCATCGCCGTCATCGTCGTCGTCGTCTTCGGCCCCCTCGTCGCCAACCGTCGCTGTCGGAGTTGTTCCCTCCCTGATGGCGGGGGGGGGGATATCCCGGTTACGGAGGTAAGAGGTGGGGGGGACTTCCGGGAGGGGGGGAAGGGGGGAAGGGGATCGGTCTGGGTTCTGGAGGAGAGTGGGGTAGATTTGCCCACGGGGTTAGCACGCTGTTGGCTCGCTTCGCTCGCGAATTCGCCTTTGCAGAGTTTTCATTGGAGGCTCTGTTACCCTCCCAGCCCCACGCCGTTGCGTATTTGAACCATGTTGGCGGCCATGTTCAGCCAGCGTTGCTAACCTCGCGTCATACTCAATAGATGTATGCCCAGATGATTGGTAATAGTACAACGTTTGACAGAACTGCTTGTACTTGACCCTCAGTCAGGAGAGAGCTGTTTTGGCCGTTGTTCCGCAGCGGAACGCAGTATATGCGAGCATGGTGAGTGTGCTTGCCACGCTAAGCAGGTATGTATTATTTGCTTTGCGTTCAGGGGGTGCAGCACAGTCAAATTATCCTGGCGTTGGACCCAACCATATGCAGTTACGAGTACCGCAAAGCAGGTTGAACGAATGAGAGGGAACTCCCGAAGGGGCCACGAAACGTGTGAGGGGTGTGCCGAAATGAGTGCGGTGCCGCCATGCGAACGCAGCCACTGGGGCCCTCGGTGGAGCTCCCTATGGGGCCACGAAACGTGTGAGGGGTGTGCCGAAATTGGTGCGGTGCCGCCATGCGAACGCAGCCACTGGGGCCTTCGGTGTAGCTCCCTATGGGGCCACGAAACGTGTGAGGGGTGTGCCGAAATGGGCGCGGTGCCGCCATGCGGACGCAGCCACTGGGCCCCTCGGTGGAACTCCCTATGGGGCCAAGAAACGTGTGAGGGGTGTCCCGAAATGGGCGCGGTGCCGCCATGCGAACGCAGCCACTGGGGCCTTCGGTGGAGCTCCCTATGGGGCCACGAAACGTATGAGGGGTGTGCCGAAATGGGCGCGGTGCCGCCATGCGAACGCAGCCATTGGAGCCCTCGGTGGAGCTCCCTATGCCACGAAACCCGCGCCGCCATGCGCGCAGCCACGTGTGAGGGGTGTGCCGAAATGGGCGCGGTGCCGCCATGCGAACGCAGCCACTGGGGCCCTCGGTGGAGCTCCCTATGGGGCCACGAAACGTGTGCCGAAATGGGCGCGGTGCCGCCATGCGAACGCAGCCAAGCCCTCGGTGGAGCTCCCTATGCCACGAAACGTGTGGGTGCGGTGCCGCAATGCGAACGCAGCCACTGGGGCCCTCGGTGGAGCTCCCTATGGGGCCACGAACCGGGTGAGGGGTGTGCCGAAATGTGCCGCCATGCGAACGCAGCCACTGGAGCCCTCGGTGGGGCTCCCTATGGGGCCACGAAACGTGTGAGGGGTGTGCCGAAATGGGTGCGGTGCCGCCATGCGAATGCAGCCACGGGGGCCCTCGGTGGAGCTCCCTCAGGGGCCACGAAACGTGTGAGGGGTGTGCCAAAATGGATGCTGTGCCGCCATGCGAACGCAGCCACTGGGGCCCTCGGTAGAGCTTCCTATGGAGCCAGCCACGAAACGTGTGAGGGGTGTGCCGACATGCGGTGCCGCCATGCGAACGCAGCCACTGGGGCCCTCGGTGGAACTCCCTGTGGGGCCACGAAACGTGTGAGGGGTGTGCCGAAATGGGTGCGGTGCCGCCATGCGAACGCAGCCACTGGGGCCCTCGGTGGAGCTCCCTATGGGGCCACGAAACGTGTGAGGGGTGTGCCGAAATGGGTGCGGTGCCGCCATGCGAACGCAGCCACTGGGGCCTTCGGTGGAGCTCCCTCAGGGGCCACGAAACGTGTGAGGGGTGTGCCGAAATGGGCGCGGTGCCGCCATGCGAACGCAGCCACTGGGGCCCTCGGAGGACTCCCTATGGGGCCAAGAAACGTGTGAGGGGTGTGCCGAAATGGGCGCGGTGCCGCCATGCGAACGCAGCCATTGGAGCCCTCGGTGGAGCTCCCTATGAGGCCACGAAACGTGTGAGGGGTGTGCCGAAATAGGTGCGGTGCCGCAATGCGAACGCAGCCACTGGGGCCCTCGGTGGAGCTCCCTATGGGGCCACGAACCGGGTGAGGGGTGTGCCGAAATGGGTGCGGTCCCGCCATGCGAACGCAGCCACTGGAGCCCTCGGTGGGGCTCCCTATGGGGCCACGAAACGTGTGAGGGGTGTGCCGAAATGGGTTCCCTTGGATGTTCTGTTGTTTGCCGACGAAAGGTCTCATGTTCTTGAAGCGTGTGCCGAAATGGAGGATGATGACGATGATGATGGTGGGAGGAGGGAGGAGGGAGGAGGGGGAGGAGGGGGCAGAGGAGGAGGAGTGGAGAACGCGGGGACCGTTTCTTCAAAACGAGGACCCAACACCACAGGATGGTTGGGAAATAGTGGGTGATTCCCGTGGGAAGCAGGTGGCATTATTGACGTTCTGGGCGCGCTTGCACATCAGTCGGAACGGAGGGGCGGACCAGTTTATCAATAACATGTGGAGGCAGCGCGTAGCGAATACTCGACGGAAAGATGTTGACGTTTACGGCAGCAAACACCAGCGAGTCCCAATATCAGGATGGCAACGCAGGACGATATAGGTAAGGGTGTGGAGGATGTGGTGGGGTGAGAGGCAAAGGCAGGAGAACGGATGACAAAGCAGTAGATGAGTTGTCGAGAGGCGTACCCGAGGCAGCGGCATGAGGGGGGTTCAGCAAGAAGCAGTTCCAGAAAAGTGTTAGAAAGTTGCGGGCATAGGAGTGATGATGTTTCTTGCAAGATCCAGAGGGATGCAAGGAACAGGAAGGTGAGAGGAACATGTTTGACACAGATCACGACCAGCAACTCGCCACCGGCCCTCGTTTTAGGGTGGCATTTGCAATGGCTATCCGTAGAGCATCCAGACGGCTAGTTGTACTCTGTTTGCGAGCTTCTGTCTGCTGACCTACTCGTCTGGCCAGTGCTCGTCGGAGCGGAGGGGTTCCTCTCCCCGGGGTTGATGTCATGTCTGTCGCGCGTGTGCACACTCCAAGCGCACGTTCGTCGTTGCGTCGCCTCTCTTTTGGTATGATTATGTGTGTTCGTTTTGCCGAAGCCCTGGCGGGGGGGGGCGACGGCGGGTTTCAAACTCATGGTTGCGCCGAAGTTTGAAAGTTCAATTGTTGGTGCAAAAGCAGTGCCACAACATGAGACTTACGAGATCCCGTCGAACTTTGCAAACCTTCAAATGTTGTCGCTTCTACATGGTCAGACCCTCAGACGTTCCAGAGTTATCACGTTCATGTTAGTTGTATGTTGAACCAAGGCTCTTGTGTTCAATCACTGAAGACCATGTTGAACGCATTCAAGTTTCAAGTATAAGGATCAAAGTTTCAAGTTTGAGAGTGCGCACGTTTAACGGTTCGAATGTGTGGAAATTGGATGTTCAGATAATTTGCCGAATGAGGGAGTCATTGCAGTTGGAAGGGAAGTTCAAATCCAGAACAGTTATCGTTGTTCATTTGGCTTACCAACAGTGAAATTGTACGTTCAAACGGAAGCATGGATGGATTTGGTTAATGTCTTGTTGTTTTGTTTGGTGCATGCCTTGGTTTCATCAGACCACGCATTAATTTTCCATCGTTTGAAGCTAGATATCAGATAACGACCTAGTTTAGCCGAGATGTAGTTCTACCGAGTCTAATGTGGCCGAGCCTGGGCATGACTAGTAAGTATGTGTTCCTAGAGCGCTGCTGAGATTAGTTTGCTGTTGCCGATGCTGCTACTCATGCCGCTTGCCGCTGCGAGAGCACCACGGCTGCATTTTGGTGGACGCGGGTTCTTGGCCCTACCCCGCCACTGCCGTCGTCGTTTACGACCATCGATGATCCAGGGCTTCGTGGTTTTGCTGAGCGTTTTTCCCCACATGCTTCGTGGGGTTCTGGTTTTCTTCCCAGCCGCGCCGCACCCGCGACACACACACACACACACACACACACACACACACACCTCACTCTTCGTACAGCACAGCTCAGCACAGCACATCACAGCACAGCACAGCACAGCTCAGCTCAGCACAGCACAGCACACAGCTCAGCTCAGCTCAGCACACAGCACAGCTCAGCACAGCTCAGCACAGCCCAGCACGGCTCAGCTCACCACAGCACAGCACAGCTCGTGGCACTTTCTCGACACCATAGGGGGTGCGCAGGGGGTGGTCTCTCGCCGCCGTCTCTATACGCGCCAGTATTCCAGGGCACACCAGGAATGGCATATTCTCGACACCATAGGGGGTGCGCAGGGGGTGGTTTCTCACCGCGGTCTCTATACGCCCCGGTCGTCCAGGCACAGCAGGCGTGGCCTTTTCTCGACACCATAGGGGGTGCGCAAGGGCTGGTCTCTCACCGCGGTCTCTATACGCCCGAGTCGTCCTGGCACAGCAGGCGTGGCACTTTCTCGACACCATAGGGGGTGCGGAGGGGGTGGTTTCTCACCGCGGCCTCTATACGCCCCGGTCGTCCAGGCACAGCAGGCGTGGCACCTTCTCGACACCATAAGGGGTGCGCAAGGGGGTGGTCTCTCACCGCGGTCTCTATACGCCGCAGTCGTCCAGGCACAGCAGGCGTGGCACTTTCTCGACACCTTAGGGGGTGCGCAGGGGGTGGCCTCTCACCACGGTTTCTATACGCCCCGGTCGTCCAGGGCCACCGCGGGTATACGCCCCGGTCGTCCAGGCACAGCAGGCGTGGCAGTTTCTCGACACCATAGGGGGTGCGCCGGGGGTGGTCTCTGCCGCCGTCTCTATACGCGCCAGTCTTCCAGGGCACACCAGGCATGGCATATTCTCGACACCGTAGGGGGTGCGCAGGGGGTGGTTTCTCACCGCGGTCTCTATACGCCCCGGTCGTCCAGGCACAGCAGGCGTGGCACTTTCTCGACACCATGGGGTGCGCAAGGGCTGGTCTCTCACCGCGGTCTCTATACGCCGCAGTCGTCCAGGCACAGCAGGCGTGGCACTTTCTCGACACCGTAGGGGGTGCGCAGGGGGTGGTCTCTCACCGCGGTTTCTATACGCCCCGGTCGTCCAGGCACAGCACGCGTGGCACTTTCTCGACACCATATGGGGTGCGCAGGGGGTGGTCTCTCACCGCGGCCTGTATACGCCCCGGTCGGCACAGCACGCGTGGCACTTCCTCGACACCATAAGGGGGTTGTCCCTCAGCGCGACCGCTATGCGCCTTTGTCGTCCCGGGCACGGCATGCGTGGGACTGTCTCGACATTATAAGGGGTGCGCAGGGGGTGGTCTCTCACCGCGGCCGCTATCCGTGACGGTCGTCCAGGGCACAGCAGGCATGGCACATGTTCGACACCATAGGGGGTGCGCAGGGGGTGGTCTCTCACCGCGGCCGCTATCCGTGACGGTCGTCCAGGGCTGCGCAGGGGGTGGTCTCTCACCGCGGCCACTATCCGTGACGGTCGTCCAGGGCACAGCGGTATCGGCGGGGCAACGGCCACGAACATCATTCTCACATGCTTCACTTCAGCTCTCAACACTCCAGCCATAATATAAGTATGTGGGGTTCCTCGGTAGCGTAATTGTTTCACCCTCTGCTCTTGGGGCCCCCTGGGCTCAGGAAAACTCTGGGGATCGTCGGCGTCATCGTCGCGAGGGGGAAGAAATGGAGGAAGAGGAGGAGGTTACATGCTAAAACCGCAAGTCGGGCTAACAAAAAAATAGACGAGGTGGAGAAGGAGGGGGAGGAGGGGGAGGAGGAGGATGAGGAGGGAATTGCACCTCAGATGGATCCTGCGTGAGCCGATCCCGGGTCACCTCCTGGAGCGATCCCCGGACGGATCCCGGCTTGACCCCAGACTGACCTCGGATTGACCTGAGCGTGCCCTCCCGCTTTCGAGACTCCGAAGCCGTACCTCTTTCCCTTTGCGCGTCGTTTTGTGCACACTGCGCACTTCCGTGGCCCAGCTGCTGCCCCATGGCCATATACTAAGACGCGTTTCCTTCGAAGCGCACTTGCATTAAAGGATTCTCCACTCGTACTCTAAAGAATTGCCGCTGGCCCCCGCCGGTTTCTTTCGTTCGGCTCTGCCCCTTGGGCTCGGTCTCCTGCCTTGGCCGCCTTTCAGTTCTTTGGTTCGCCCTCGGCCCAGGCGTGGCCACGAACTCAGGCAAACGCCAATTGTCTTCTTTCTGCGGGGCCCGAATCTCTAGGTTGCATCCATACTCATCCAAGTGATTCGAACTGTTTCCCGACTGCTTCCGGTTGGCTTGTTCTTGTTAGGAGTGTTTGGGGAGTTCGCAGATGTCTAATTTGGATAGTTTCGGCACGCATTGTTCTCCAGTCGTACTCACATAATCAATCTGTCAAAAACGAAACGAAGAAGGAGACGGAGGCGGCAGAGCTCGCCGAAAGAGAGAAAGAGAGAGAGAGAGAACAAAAAAAACAAACAGAAAAGGAGGCAGAGAGAAGGAGAAAGACAGAAAGGGAGAGTTGCCTTGAGAGCCACATGAGAGGGAGGTGATTGCAGCCCATGAGCGTCGCCATTGCAACGACATGTACTGCCTTGGGTATGGCTGTGCTAATTATGTACGACGCTTTCTCTTCAGCCCTACAATCGGTGCGCGTTCGCAGGTCGAGCCTGCAAGATCAAGGCTACACTCTTATCTTCGCGACATCTCCATGGCCTCTCGGTTTGCACGCCCTGTTGCCCCCCCAGAACCACCGTGTGTCCACTCGGATGTCCTCGCAAATGTGCTTCGTCTCCCCCTGCTCTTCTTTGCGAAGTCGGAGCAGGGATCGGGGCATCTAGGCGTAGGCGCAGTTGTAGGCTGAGGTTTGCAGGTCCGCAGCATTTTTTTTGACCACGCGTACGGTCTTCACTCCGGGGCACCATCCACATGCCCTGCTTGGCCGCGAGGGCCTCCGGCTTCCACTCAAGACCTTCCCGCACGACGCCAGCGGATTACTCGTAAATATCCGGGCGATGCACCAGCATAGTGCCGCGGATTGAAGTAAGGATAACTATGGCAGACATAGGGGTGAGCACACACGGATATGCAAATGCACATATAAATACGTAGCACCCCGCAATTGCGGATCAGAGTGAGGGGGCGGGCGCGGGCGACGCGGGCGTCGAGCCGGCGGACCTCGTGGCCCTCACTTTCCTTGTCGATGGCGCCCTCCTCCTCCTCCTGCTCCTCCTCCTCCTCCTCCTCCTCCTCCTCCTCTTCCTCGTCCGCGTCATCGTCCTCATCGTCGTCGTCGTCGTCCGCCTCCTCCTCCACCTCCTCCTCCTCTTCCTCCTCCTCCTTCTCCTCCTCCTCCTCCTCCTCCTCCTCCTCCTCCTCCTCCTCCTCCTCCTCCCCCATCCCTATCCTCCCCCCTCCTTTTTTTTTTCCTCCTCCTCCTCCTCCCCCTCCTCCTCCCTCCTTTCTCGTCGCCCCCCTCCGTCCCCCCCTCCTTTTCCTCCTCGCCCTCGTCGTCGGCCTCCTCTTCGTCCTCGTACTCGTCGTCGTCGTCGTCGTAGTCGTCTTCCTCCTCCTGCTCCTCGCCCTGCTCCTCCTCCCCTCCTCCGCGGAGCGCGCGCGCGCGCCAGGGGGGTGGGTCGCGGGCTTGTTCAGTGAACGTAGTTTGGGTCGCGGGTGGGTCGCGGGCTCTCCACCTCCACCTGGACGGAATTCAAAAACAGCCCGCCGCAGGCGCCGAAAATCCGTAAGGGCTTCGCCCCATGCCGCCGGCCCCCTGTCTCGGATAATGGGATATGCAAAAGCTAAATCATGAGGTCTGGGCGCCGCCGTGAAGCAGTGTCGGGACCTGATTGTTTTTCGACCTGGACCCTACGGATCTGCCTGAGGGGTGCCGCCGAATTTCAACATGTGGCAAATCCAATATGTTTTGCGACCTTGACCCTACGGATCTGCGTGAGAGGTGCCGCCGAATTTCAAAAATGTGGCAAATCCAATGTGTTTTCGGACCCTGACCCTGCCGATCTGCGTGAGGGGAGCCACCGAATTTCAGAAATGTGGCAAATCCAAAGTGTTTTTGGACCCTGACCCCTTCGATCTGCGCGAGGGGCGCCGCCGAATTTCAGAAATGTGGTAAGTCCCATGTGTTTTTGGACCCTGACCCCTCAGATCTGCGTGAGGGGCGCCGCCGAATTTCAGAAATGTGGCAAATCCCCTGTGTTTTTGGACCCTGACCCCGCCGATCTGCGTGAGGGGTGTCAATTTATCCACCCCAGAAATTCAGAGCACACGCTCAGGGCGTGGTTGAAAACGCCAGTTTTGGGCCCTCGCGCGGTCCATCAACAAGGAACAGTAAGCAGCAAGAAGTCAACAGGGAACAGTAAGCAGCAAGAAGCAGAACTGTAACAGTGGAAGCTTGAGATTGCAACTGGTACAGGAAACTGCGAACCTTCGTCCTACAGCCTGGTGGCCCCACAAGGGGGCCGGCGGACTTTGATTTGTACACTGAACGCGGTTTGGGTCGAAGGTTCTCCATTTGGAACAACTGCAAAAGAAGCCCGCCGCAGGCCGAAAATTTAGGGTGGGTCGCGGGGTGGGTCGCGGGTGGGTCTCGTGTGGGTCGCGGTGGGTCGCGGGTGGGTCGCGGGCGCGGTTTGGGTCGCGGGTGGGTCGCAGGTTCTCCACCTGGAACGAATGCAAAAGAAACCCGCCGCAGGCGCCGAAAATTTTGGGTGGGTCGCGGGGTGGGTCGCGGGTGGGTCGCGGGTGGGTCGCGGTGGGTCGCGGGTGGGTCGCGGGTGGGTCGCGCGGGGTGGGTCGCGGGTGGGTCGCGGGTGGGTCGCGGGTGGGTCGCGGGTGGGTCGGGGGTCGCGGGTGGGTCGCGGGTGGGTCGCGGGGTGGGTCGCGGGGTGGGTCGCGGGTGGGTCGCGGGTGGGTCGCCGGTGGGTCGCGGGTGGGTCGCGGGGCGGGTCGCGCGGGTGGGTCGCGGGGTGGGTCGCGGGTGGGTCGTGGGGCGGGTCGCGGGTGGGACGACGACAACAACAAACAACAAACAACAAGCAACAAGCAACAAGCAACAAGCAACAAACAACAAACAGCAAACAGCAAGCAACAAACAGCAAACAGCAAACAGCAAACAACAACAACAACAACAACAACAATCATTTTACCCGAACGCGTGGTGTTCTCCCCAGTGCCAGGGTTTTCATACGACACCAGGCAATACCCCCACTTCGTGGGGGGGCATTACAAGCTCTACCAAATATCCAAACGACTCTTCGCGACCACCCAAACCCAGCTTCCCGCCCTATGACGTTGGGACACTTCACTTCGTGGCGTGCGGACGACCGTGGCTACTACACTGGCGTGGGGTACACACCCACAGAACCCAATGGTTTTTGGAGATTTCGGCGTGCGCGCGCGAAGAAAAAACGAATGTGTCCCGCATGGTATTATTTGACAGGGATGATGGCCCTGGCAGGTGCGCAACCGTTGTCGCAGAAGTTCGAAAAAGTTGCTCGCAAAAGCCCGTTTGACAGAAATGTTTAAAAAGTGTTGGGTTTCCTACGAATCCGCAAGAGCGCGCGGGATGAGATTTTGACATTTTTTTGTTGAAAAACCATTGGTTTTTTGATGTTTTTATGTTAAAATCGCTCCGAACACTAAGCTTTTGGAAGGATTTCGTCTTGCGCGCGCGAATGTCCACTTTACCTTATTTTTTGCAAGGGATTCTTGAAATTTGATTATATTAGAACAAGAAATGTCATTTTATAGTGTTTTTTGCAAGGGAAAACGGATTACAACAAAACAACCGGATCTTGATGACATCGTATTACCTGAGGCTTCCTCACGAAAGTGATGAAAATGTAGCTGCGGCCTAGGCGGCGCAGGGGGGCCGTGCACCAGGGGTCCCAACAATAATTATTCTTTAGAATTAATAATGTTCAACAACAACAAAAATAATAATAATAAAAAAAACAACAACAACAACAACAACAACAACAACAACAACAACAATCCGCATCGCGGAATTCCACTTCAGCCACGCACCCAGGGACAGCGAATGCCCGTTCAGTTAAGTCCCCTCACTCTGATAAACGGGGAAGGAAGTTGGGGCCCACAACGCCACTGACCTGATCCCCCGATCTGGGTCTGGGGCCTCAGGGGCCCCTCCAAAGCTTCTGAAGATTGTCCCGAGCTTAATCGTTTGTCCTTAAATGGCACGCCAGTGTCCTGCCAGTGTCCCGCCAGTGTTCCCTATGCATCCGGGTGGTGTTCCGATTGTGTTTTTTTGTAGTTTACCGATCCGATCGTTTTCATATGCTCGGTGTCCTTCCGTTGAGTTGCAATGCCGCGTACTCTTTTTGAATTTCGCTATGGCTACCAACGATGACTATCCTGTCTTTGGAAGGTGCACTGCTGGAGTTGGGGCCGGGCTGACTGAATGGTTTGCCGAGAGCGAATTTACGGCGAGTCTCTCCGCGCGCCGTGGAATTCTAAAAGTTGCACGCACAACCCGTTTCTTCTCATGCGCCTGTTTTGATTGTAGTGTGTTGTTAAGGCACATTGCTTCAGCAGAAGAAGTGGCACGACATGATAAGAGGACAGGTGTTAGTTTCAGAAAGCGTTGAATCCAGCACGCGCGGGACATAGTTTGCGGCGCAAGACCAGCAGCGTATATTCGGTCTAGCAGGGCGCGTATTGTTGAGGCAAGGTTACGCGAGTCGAGCTAGCCGTTCATTACAACCCCGTGCGAAAAGCAACTGGTGTTTGGTGAGCACCCCGCCCCCCCATTTCAATGTTGATCGCGCGACCGGCGAAGTTCGAAAAAAAATCGGCACCGCATTGAACAGTGAAATTGGGGGGTGGTGGGGGGGGAGGTGTGCAGGAAAACACCAGTTGCTTTTTGCACGGGGGGTAGTCCACAGTCTCGCTCCCTCCGCCAGCCTATAGTATATCATCGATGGCACCTGCCGGTGTGCTCGCTGGGGGTGAGAAGGTGGTGTGGTGGTGTGTGGCGGTCGTTTCTTTCATCTGTCGCATGAACTTCGTTTGGGGGGAGAAACAGTGGCAGGGTAGCTGCAAAACAACCCCCACTGGAGCACGCCCCCACCGAAGCTCCGCCAGTGCATCCTGCCACCGTGCCTGCGTTGTGGGCCAGAGGCGTGCTGGATGCCTCTCGGTTCTTTTGGGATGCCTCGTGGGGGGTTCTTGGAAGTTGTTTGGGGGCTTCCTGGGGCATCTTACGGGCTTCTCTGGGGGCCTCTTGGAGATATCTTGGGTGTCCATTATGAGCTCTGGGGGCCTGCTGGCGGTCTCGGAGGCTCTCTTAGGGTCCTCCTGGACCGTCGTTGGAAGTTCTTCGGTCGCCTTGGGGCCTCTTGGGCTGCATGCGGGCTCTTTTGGGGCCTTTGGGGGCAGTCTTGCAGCGATCTTGGAGGCCTCGTGGGCCGTCGTGGGTTCGGAAGCTTAGGAACACCGAGAACGAGAACAAACGTGAACAACACAGGATGGTCAATGATTTCTGCGTGTTGGCGCTCTTTTGGGCCGTCTTGGGGGCCCCTAGGCTGCTTTGAGGCCATCTTGGGCCGTCTTGAAGCGCTCTTGAGCCGTCTCAGGGCCCTTGGCCCTTGGCGTTCCTTTGGGGCGCTCCTGGGGCTGAAATAGAAGTCTGGGAGCCTGCGCCCAGGAATTCCAGCTTCAGTGGGGATGTGTTGCATGGTCTTAGCAAGGAGATTGTTCTTCCCAGGACGCCGCCGTGCGCGCGTGAATGAGTAAGTTATACGTAGCACCCCGCAGATACGGATAAGGGTGCGGGGGCGATGGGAACGTCAGCAGTCTGCGAGACTCTGGAGGAGCCCGCCGCCGGCGCCAAAGTTTCACAAATTCTACAACGAGCCCGCCGCAGGCGCCGATTATTTCTCCAAACCAATGTGGATCGGTCGCGGGTGGGTCGCGGGGTGGGTCGCAGGTGTCGCGGGTGGGTCGTGGATGGGTCGCGGGGTGGGTCACGGGGTGGGTCGCGGGGGGGACGACGACAACAAACAACAACAACCACAACAACAACAACAACAATAATTTTGAGACTGTTCGCCCAGATATGCTCGAGTGTCCAATAACGCGTATTTCCCAAACCCTCGATACCCGTCCTCTTCGTCTTCGATCGAACCCCTTTTGGGGGGTATGCCTTTCTTCCCTGCAGGCCGGGCCCCGGCAAGCGGCGGGGCGGCCGCGGACCGTCGGCCTGGCCAGCGGCAGCGCTGATCGGCGGGGCGGCCGCGGACCGTCGACCCGACCCCAAGAGGGACGGACAGGGGCCCGACCACGACGACGACGACGACGACGACGACGACGACGACGACGTCGACGACGACGGCGACGACGAGCGAAAGCGAGAGCGAGAGAGAACGACAGCAGGGCCACGAAGGGCACGAAGTAGGCCACGAAGGGCGACAGCGGGGACACGAAGGGAATGCGTATGGGGCCACGAAGAGCGCGAACAAGCGGGGGCCACGAAGTGCAGATAATGCGGGGCCACAGAAGGCAACTACGGGGCCACTGAGGGTAGCAACCGGGCCACATAGGACAGTGAGGGGGACACAGATGGCGACAGCGGGCCACGAAGGGCACACACATGGGGCCACAACGGGCGCGACTCCTGGGTGCCTGGGTGCCTGGGTGTCGGGAGCGCGGCGCTTGGGCAAATTGCAGGAAATCCCAACGCAAGGCCATTCTTCAGTAAGTTGCAAGCAAGTCTCCAGCGAGAGCGCGACTCCAGAGCGCCGGGAGAGCGATTCCTTAATAAATTGTCAGGAAGTCTTAGGCGAGAGCGCGATTCCTGAATAAAATGCGGAAAATATCGGGCGGGAGCGGGGGTCCTGGCTAAATTGTAAGGGAGTCTCAGGCGGGAGCCGTTGTTAGGAAGATTTTCCCTGTCAGAAAACAGGGTGCGAGCGTCGAGGGGCACACTTCGATTGAGAAGAAACAGTATGCACAGGTGGGGGGGCTCAACAATAATTATTCTTCAGAAGTGAGAATTCAACAACAACAACAACAACAACAACAACAACAACAACAACAACAACAACAACACAACAACAACAACAACAACAACAGCAACAACAACAACAACACCAACAACAACAACAACAGCAACAGCAACAGCAACAGCAACAACAACAACAGCAACAGCAACAGTAACAGCAGCAACAACAACCATCATTTTGAGGTTGTTCGCTCTTATCTGCTCGCGTGCCATTCAATATGCATTTCCCAAACCCTGGGTACCCGCCCTCTTCGTTTTCGATCGTGCCCCGTTTTGGGGGGTATATGCATTCCCTGCCACGTGTGGCTGGTGAAGCCCATGAGCGGAAGGATTACAAATAACGGGGGAGAATGGGGACGAAGGGGTCGGAGGAAGGGAGGGGAGGAGCAAGAAGAAGGGAGGACGATGCTTTGCGCTGCGAGTGGCGACTAAGCTTGCGCCATGGCTTGCGCCAGCCACTCCAACAAAGGTTAACCATAAGTTTCGCCATGGGTCGCGCCATAGGCAGCGCAACGTACCACCCCCTTGAAAGAACATATCGTGGATACCCCCACAGGGGGACGTACAGCTGCGAACTGGTGTCAGAAACAAATGTCGTGGAACCTTGAAAAAAAGCGGATGTTGGGAGAGTGGGGCGGAAGGATAGTGAGAATTGCAACCGTGTCGCGAGGAGCGCGGGGATGTGGAGTGGATTGGGGTGGGGTGGACAAGAGTAGGGTCTCAGGAGGAGGCGCGGCAAGGAGTGGAGAAGAGGAGCCCGGGAGTGCGAAGGAGCGGAGAGCACGGAGGAATCTGGAGGAAGAGCTGGGAATAATTTGGGAGAGATGCGGAATGCGAGCGGGAAGGGGTGGAGATTGTTGGGGTGGGATGGGGTGGCCTGGGGAGGAGTGGGCGGGATGCGAAGAAGCGAGGAAGCGCACAATGGAATACGAACGAAACGAAAATGCTGATTAAGGGAAAGGGTAGAGAAGACTGGGGAAGAACGTTGAGACGTGGGGGCAGGTGGATACGAGCGGAGACTGGTGCGGAAACAAGGCGCGGGCGGATTGGAAGGCACCCGAAAGCTTCTTATGACCGCAGAAAGTGGGCCACTGAGTGCAGAAAGTGGGCCACGAAGGGCAGCGAGGGGGCCACGAACGGCGACAGCGGGGCGACGAAACGCATGCGTATGGGACCACAAAGTGTGCGAGCGAACGGGGGCCACGAATGGCAAACAATCCGGGGCCACAGAGGGCAGCGACGGGGCCGCTGAGGGCAGAAACGGGGCCACGAAGGGCAGACAGGGGACCACGAAGGGCGACAGCGGGGCCACGAAGGGCATGCATATGGGGCCACGACGGGCGCGAACGAGCGGGGGCCACGAAGGGCATTCGCTTATGGGGCCACAAAGGGCGACAGCGGGGCCACTGAAGCCAGCAGAGGGGCCACGAAGGGCAGCGAGAGGGCCACGAACGGCGACAGCGGGGCTACGAAGGGCATGCGTATGGGGCCACGACGGGCGACTGCGAGCAGGACAACGAAGGGCATACAATGCGGGGCCACAATGGGCAGTGACGGGACCACTGAGGGCAGCAACGGGGCCACGAAAGGCAGCGAACGAAGGCGACCGCGGAACCAGCACGGGCAGCGAGGGGCATCGAAGGCGGGCGAGGGGCAGCGAACGGCGACTGCAGACGACGGACGATGACGGCGATGACGACGCACTGCGGATGCCCTTTTGGGGATGTGGGAAAATTGCTGCGTAGGCCCGCCGTGCGGCCGTAGGCGACGACGACGACTCAACTCAACCCACGCACTCTAGGAGCGATATCCGATTGCCACTTCACTACAGCACAAGCTCGTTCGACACCGAGTCGAAATATGAACAAGCTGTACTGTGAAGTACTAGGACGAGCTCTGGGTACTTGCAAAATGGAGGGCATGGCAGCGGTGACGCTGCTGGAGCTCCATTTGGATATTTCGGAGCCCCTTGAGGGATCCTCTTGGGACCATCTTGACGAAGGGGGGTCCCGTGGTCGCTTGCAAAGACATTGTTGCAAGCACCAGGGGCTCTGACAGACACGTGCCCGCGACGTTCGCCCCCTCCTCCATGTCTTCCTCGTCGTTATCGTCATCCTCTTCCAGCCTCACTCCGTCTCCCCATTCCCCCGTACTCGTTTCTCCACCCGAGTCGTTGTCGTTTGTACCCGCATTTGGTGAGGGCCCCTGGAGGCTGGAAACTGTTTTTTTATGAAAACAAAAAAACGTCGCCACTTTTCACAATAAGAGGAGGTGGGGAGCCTATTCGTCGCCGAGTCGCACCGTAGCCGCAACAGTACCTTCGTTCGTTGCTCATCGTTCCAATGATAGCATGATGGCCGAATCCCCCGCGCCTTTTTAGGAAAACGCGACTGCGCGTGCGTGTTACCCAAGGACACCAGGGGGCCTCACGCGAAGGCGGCCCTAGAGTGGGGCGGCGGCCTCTTCCTCTCCCGTTGAGAGGAGGGTCCAGCAGACCTCCAGGGGATCCACGTTGTGATCGAAATCGCGACGTCCGATGTCTGGATCCCCTCCTCCCT